AAGTCTTATGATTATCATAATTACCTCCCAGCAGAGTTATCAAGAATCGAACTCTCATGATGTTACCCTTTGTGCATCACTTACCTTGCAAAACTACATGTGGCTGAAATAGTATCAAATTCAATTAAATCAAATCACATACATTTCCTATCTTTAAAAAATCAAGTTAGGTAGGTTTACGGGACATAGCTTTAGTTGGAGTGGTCTGCGAAGACAGTACATGCGAATAAAGAAGTCGTCATCAATACAAATATATACGTACAGCTTAGCATGCTCAAATGTTTACAAACAATACACGACTATAATTGAATTAATTATTATCATGGTTGGTGCCATGCATATCATGGGGTTATTATATACTCGGCCGGGGTATATGTATAACAATGCATGTACGCCTTCTACATTTAATTAAGTGTACTCATCCATTTTCTAAAACAGTTCTTCTTTCGTTTGTAACAAAACACTTTTGCTTTGATTAAAAAATGACTAATATAATCCAATTAAGTTGTTGTAATACACTTCATTCATTTTGCATGATATGGTTTGAATCCACATGCATGTACGCAAGGTTGATGGCCATCGGCGCGATGGTTGAACACTTGAACGCAAGGGCAGGAAAATCCTTGAATATATATGGTGGCTCCGGCTAAACAAACAGGGTGGCGACCATGGCGATTGCACAGAAGAACATGGAAGAGAATATCCGAAGCTTTGAAAGGATTATACCGTGCGGCTGGGATGACTTCTTTCAATCTCCCCCTTATACTCCCTCCGTTTTTAAGAGTTCCAAATTTGACTAGCTAAGTGTAAAAAAATTAGAAAATGTTAAATTGTAATTGACATTCCAACTTTATCCTTGATGTGATAGATAGATTATTAGAGAAAAGGTATGATATGATAGGTAGGATATGAAAACATAAAGGTAAAAGTGATTTTTTAATAGAAAGTGGAAGTGTTTTATTGGAAGTGGAAAAAATGAAAGAGAAAGTGTTTTTGAGAACAGAGGGAGTATTTTACACTTTTTACTTTTCTCTTTAAAATGATGGAAAGTGTTTTTTTACTTTTTTCCTGTAGGGTTTTTAAACCACTAATTTAATCACTTGAATTAATTACTAAATCGACCAGTAAACCAGCAGTGTCGAGACCGGTTCAATAATTGAGTTGGTATATGGTACATTTGGATGTACCTAGAAATATATAGGTACATCCCCGTAGTACTCATTCTGAAATAAAGTACTCCATAGTACTCATTCTCGTACAAATATAAACATTCATTTCAAAATACGTAGTACTCATTTTGACAAAGGTAGTACTCATTTTAAAATAAAGAAGTAGTCATTTTTACACATTTGTCTAATATAATTATAATAAATATCGTAGTGTTCATTCTTAAAAAAACAATACTCATTCTCAAATACGGAAATGCTCATTCTGAAATAAAGTATTGTTCAATTCTTTCACAATTAAAAAGTTCAGTACCATCATCAACTTCTTCATCGCTACCCTTTTCGTTGGATCTTAGTCTATCCGATTCATTCCAATCCCATCTCTTCAACTTCTTCAGTCCCACCTAGGGTTTCTACCTTACTGTACTGCCGCCACCATCGCCTTCCCTTGTCCTGCCATTCTCCATCGTTTTCGCCTCCTCCCAATCTTCGTGCCTCCCTTTGTCGTCACATCTCCTTCGCCGGCTTCTTCGATCGTCATGCTCCTCTCCTCTTCGCAAACTTTATCGATCCTCGCTTACTTCCGCCGGCTGTACGGTTCTTCCCGTACAGCCGGCTGTACGATATAATTTGCCTCAATAATTGGCCGGGTTCTAAAAACTATGTATGATCTTATTGTTGTTTTTAGTTGTTGTCTGTGCTTGTCTTTAGGAAAAATGACGTCAAAACTGTGTTTTTTCTAAAATCAAATAGTGCATAGATATAGAGCTAAATACTCCCTCCGTACCAGAGTATTTGTCCACTTTCATTTTTGCACACCATCCAATTCACTTCTTTAATCCATTTTATCTTGTAATTTGTATATTAAAAAATTATAGAAATTATATATTAATAATCTATATGTTAAGACAAATCAAACAAGATCACACATGGCTATATTTAGGCTTACACAATGAGAGAATTTAATGAGTCAAAGTACTTAGATGAACAGTTCCAAAAGTCAAAAGTGGACAAATATAGCGGGACGGAGGTGGTATATGGCACGCCGTGGCGCATGGGCCTAGTGCTTATATCAATCAAAATTTTATACTTTCCCCATTTTGATTATAATTTTAGTTTGTCTCTTCTAAATAATTTTTGTTTATTTGTGTGTTTTCATTAATTATTTAATAAAATAAAATATTTTTGTCATATATTTTTTATTAAACTTTTAATGTAGTTTTTTAACGATTTATTTTTGTTTTTATTGATATATATTAATTTGTAAATAAAATAATTTTAAAAATCGTGAAATTTTTCCGCCTAATTTCTATTTTGTAACCAAATATGGAAGAATGAAGTAGTAGCGAAAAGGAAAGTGTATTGGGGAAGCAAAGGGCATTCTACAACCGGCCACATTACGGAGTCCCCTTTTTAAGACGTTGACTCCAAACAAGAATAATGTTTACTCATGGAGAAATTTTTGGACCAAACAACATTACATTTTTAATTTATTCGGTTTAACTATAATTTATAAGTTGGCTTCACAGAATTAAATACAAAGTAATGTTTGATTGGAATTCTTTTAGTAGAAAATGAGTTGTTAGGACCAACATATTTCATTTCTGAAATAAATCTTGATAAATATCGATACAATTTAATAATAATTGATCTTATCAAACATGATATATTATCTTTATATATAGGAATTATAAAAGAGAATTCTAATAAGAAATCACCTTAAATATGACTTAAAGATAGCAAAAGTACCAAAATAAGAGTTTCATATTTTTATTATCTAAATAAGAATTCGCATTGTAGTAATGTGACATTGTACATGTGCATTTTACATAATATACATGGTCTTGATTGGTAATGTAAATGCATTTTAACTCCTATTTCAAAAATAAAAACAAGGAACTCCTATTTTGGTATATTTTTAATATTTTACTCTACTTTAGTCTTTTTCCTAATTCTGATCAAAGTAGAAGAAGAATTATAGTAAGATCAAATATAATAAGGAAGTAATGTAATAAGAAAGGCAATGAATAATAACACTATATTTCCAACTACAGCTATTATCCTAATATCTTCGCAAGCTAATCACCGATAACAAGGACGACTTGGAGCACATGTACTCGAATTAAGCCGGTAGAAGCCGTTTTGTGAGGATAGCCTCTAGAAGAAGAGAGATTTTCGTTTAATGATCAACGAGATTGAGATTACATTTGCTGAGTTTTTTCCGGTAAGAGTGTAGGCAATTGGAGCAAGGGCGAAGAGTTTCTTTTTTCTTATTTTGGGTCGTTCTCTGCTTCTCTATCTTGCTCTCGACCTCTAGAAAAAATATAGACAGATGCAATTTTCTTGTTCTTCGTTCACGCAGATGATGTTTTTTGGAAGAAAAGAGATAATGAATTTTTTTGGGAGAAAGAGAGGGATAATGGACGGAAACTGTTAGGCACACTCGTCGAGATTAATCGATGACGCAATGGTATCGGACGGTCAACCACCGTGAATAAAGACTGGTGATGTGCTCGATCAGAAAAGGGTTAGCTAGATTTTTGAGAATCTTAACTCCGACACCATGATAAAATTTGATAATGATTGGTCTTATAGAATATAATAATGAAAAATACATCCATATATATAAAGATTACAAGAGAAAATTCTAATCTAAGTAGTTGAAAGTTTATAGTATGAATACAATAAGCAAGTATTAGGTTATGATATATATATATATATATATATATATATATATATATATATATATATATATATATATATATATATATATATAGGGGCTGGTTCCTTTGAGAATGCACCTTGTGGAGAGAAATAAGAATGAAATCTAGCCGTTAGATCTGATGCATCGTGCGGCTCAGATTGCATCCTGCACTCAGACTTTGAGATAGTGCATTTTCAAAGGATTATGATGCATTTTAACGTGATGCATTTTCAAACCATTTTGTTGCACCTAATTTTGATGCAATCCTGACCCTTAGATCGCACAATCTAAAGCACCAGATTCATTTTCATTTCTCTCCTAAGATCGCATTCTCACCAGAACCAAAATCTATATATATATATATATATATATATATATATATATATATATATATATATATATATATTATTGGGTTATGGAACCCGGGGGCCTAGGTAACTAGGCGGATGGGTATCGAACTAAGCACGAGCGCACAAAGTATAAGGGGTCAAGTAAATTCAGAGTAATAATGTACTAGTTGGAATATTAGTTAGAACGTAAGTCCCCCTTCCCTTAGAAGGGAAGAGGTTTATATACAAGCTACAACTAGGGTTCCGACCGTTGGTCCGTAATCCAACGGTCTGGGCCCACTAAGATTGGGTTGTTCACTGGCGGCGTCCAACCACATGATTAACCCTAGGACTGCTACACAAAGTAGGTTACAAGTAGGGTGGCTATAGCAACTCTGCCAGAGTCTAATCGTGGGCCCCTTGATCTTGACCAGGCCGGCTCCCTCGTCTAGATCTGGTCTGCCGCTGTTCGTGGCCGAGGCCGAGCGCCTGACTTGCCTTCGGAAGCCTCTGGATGGAGGGCCGGCCGTGGTCGCTCCGAGGATGACCAACCCTGCCGGGGCCGAGTGCGCAGTGCTGCCGAGGCACTCTTTGTTGGTCATTTGCCCTGGTTCCGTCAAGTGGGCCTTGACGAAGTTGGGCTGGGCCGTCTTCCTGCTGGGCTGGATACCCCCATTCCCGGGTATCCATCATGAGTCCCCTACTTCCTCGGCTGAGCGCAGCGAGGCCGAGGGAAGTAATCCAACAGTTAGGATCTTGAATTTTTGAGATTCAAATTTTGAAAATCTTGGCCATGTGTAGGAGTCCCCCGCTGCCCAAGTCGAGTACTGACGAGGGTTGGGGAGTGACCAACTGGCAAGATTTACACGTGTCCCCTCGATTCTGAGAAATATGATTGCACCGCTTGGGAGATGCAACGTCTCTGTACGGTTCCTTTGTCAGCCGTTGACGATGATTCGTAATCCTACGCGTAAGGAAGCGCCACGTCTCTTCGTAATCGTGCCTTTTCATCGAGTCGGGTCGGGTCCCTTCATTATATAAAATTGAGAATTTTCCCAATCTTCTCCACTTTTGCCATTTTTTGCGCCGCAGCCTTGCCGCTAATTCCGCTCATCATCTCCGTTCGTTTCCGTCGCCGTCGCAGTCCAATTTGAAGGTTAGTTCCCTCTTCTCCGTTCTCATGGCGTCTTCTGATTCCAATCCTTCCACCCCCGCTGTCGACTCAGCGGTGGTTTGCTTTGAAGAAATGTACCGTCAAGATCCCTCCCTCCGCCCCGACGGCTTGATGGGAGGAATTGACCATTCTAGGGTTTTGAGCGCGATGCCTCTCCGCACGTCCGTCACCGTGGCGTCATCGTCCCGGGCACCGCCCTTGAAAAAGAAGAAGAGATCGAAAGTTGTCAAAGGGAAGAACCCGAAATCCTTACCCGTTACCGTGCTGGAAACGGGTCCGATTACGAATACGGGTTGTCTTCTGTTGGATATTGACTTTGACGAGGCTCTCCGCTTCGTGGGCAATGGTTACGTGGTGCGCCTGTAACACCCTACCCTGGATGACCCGAGTCATCCAGACCAGAGTGCTAGTAAAACCCGGTTGCTTGGTAAAACATTTTTTTATTAAAATAAATTCTCATTACGATACTAAAGAGTTTAAAGATTTTTTTCGAGTAAGTAAAAAGAGTAATAACATTCATAAGTAAGTACAACTTGGGGTTCAAGCCCAAACCAAAATATGTTCAATAATTTATTCAATTATTTATTTTAAACAAAATTTCCTTTTTTAGCACGGCCTCCACGTCCAAGCTTTCCTCCTCAGCAGTCGTTCCCCAACTAGTACCTGCGTGCAGTTAAACACTACACGCTCAGCATAAGCTGAGTGGCAAATAACCAGTAGACATATATAACATGCAAATATATTTTAGAGCATTTTAAGTTCTTTAATATAATTTCAATGTTTTTCACATATTTAAAATCCTGGAGAAAATAGTCTCACTTTAGTAATTGCTTGGGGATATTTAGAAAATATTAGACTTTTTCCTTCTTGGTTAACCTTGCATTAGAGATTAAGACGTGACTAGGCTGGAACACCGCACTAGTCGATACGTAGTTTTACTTCGGATACCTCCCCGTGACCTCGGGTCCAGTAATCAGAAGTGAACCCTAGACCCACGGGGTCATCGTCGGGTTCTCGTGCGCACGTTGTGGTATGATTATTTATAGGCTCATCCACATGGACACAGTCCGGCCTTGAAACATGTGGTTTGACCCACTTGATGAAACGTGACAATACCTGGTCAGGGTACGTCGTTAAAAGAACTTTAACGTTTCTACTTTGTCCACTAACTATTTGGTTAACGCTAATATGGTCATTTAGATAAATTACTTCGGATATCCTCAAATATAACTTGATCCTCTCAAAATTATATATGGAATGATGTCCCCTTAGTATGTCCAAAACATGCAGTTTAGTAACGAGATAATAAAACATTACTTTAGTACTATCCGTGTATAAATATGTACGTTGAAACATATTACTCAAATATACCAAAAACTCTTTTTATGTATCTTAAGAGAGAAAAAAAANTTATAAACATTGCGTGTTTAATTATTTACAAGTTCGGCTCAAAATAAAATACAAACCTATTATTATTTATTTAATTCCTTAGGTAGTCACGGCCAACAAACTTTGTTTGTCAAATTATATTTTAAAAATTTATATTTCACTACATACACCAAACCACATGGATAAAAATTATATTATTTAATTTAATTATCCAATTATACTCATCGGCAACTATGATTTATGATTAATATGTTTATTATCATTATTATATTTAATAGTAAAACAAGTCATTTTTCATTATCCAAACTAAAATGGAAGCAGAAGTTCAACTTTAAAAATAAAATAATAACATTTGTCATTTCTCTCCCTTTTTTTATGTATCTATGTCTTTTTTCTTCTTTTATATAATGTACGTATGTAATACGAAGTTTTTTTAACAATTGGTAGATATATATTATTTATAAAAACAAAATGCACAAAAAAATATATTAACATAAAATATATGGCTAAAGATTAGGGTGAACGGCACACCTTTAGTGTTAATTCAAACAAACGGTGTCGACGAGATTATTCCGTGACTGCATCTCCCACGCCACTCTATCTCTTCCATGGCAATGCCACTAACTAATCTTACATACTCACACACCTCTAAACTTTATTATGTATTATTTCTTTCAAGTGATCATGGCATGGATGGATGGGTCACTCTTCCTATGAGTCCCTATTTATAGGAGAGAAAAGAAGATTCTAGAAAGTGGAGGGAGGAGGAAAATGGATGGTTTCTATTTTAAAAAAAATAAAAATTAACTAAATGCTTATTATTAGCCCTTAATGATGTTAAATGAATGGGAAAGAGGTTACAAGTTTAGGCGTGAGAATCAAGGGAGAAAATAAAAGGTTTTCTTGCTCCGTGGGTTTAGACTATGTTGTGTCTGATTTTCACAGTTTCAGTTGTAAAATATTTTTAGAAAAATATTTAACTTATGCCGTTGAATTTCATATTTTTCACACATCATTTTAACTTAATTTGTTTATCAAGAAAACAAGCTCACTTGAACAAAATAATATCAATCAGATAGCTAAAAGCCAAAACCTACTTCTTTCATTCACCACTTCTAATAATTAATTATTAAAGTTTAAATTCCAATTTATTATTTTATTTTTTTATTTTTTTTAAATAAAGAACAATGACATTTTTTTGTAACTTTATTTTCATGCTTAATATTTTAGTTGTTTTTTTTAATTTGTTTTTAGATAATTATTTCATTATTTATACTCAAAAGTTAAAAATTTCTAGACCGACTTTTAGGGCGTCTTCCCCTCATCCCTGAAACTCTAGAAGGCCAAGTTTGTCTTCATTTCCGGCTTTCCCGGGGACCGGCATCCCTTCCACGCCAGGTTTCCCGAATGTCACACGTTCATCCGTCATCCTCGGCCTGCGGCCACTCTTGAGCTTCAGGCATACGCGCAAAAACTGTTGGAAGACTGCCGGCCTAAACCGCCTCACTTGTACACGGTGTGTACGGAGCAGAACTTAGCGGAGGTGGGGATCCTTATCTCCCTCGAGCGCCAATTCGAACTGTCCGAGGCCGTGCTTGGGAGTCGCCCGAAGCATGGGCTTGAGGAGAGTGCCCCGAGGTCGGAAGATATAGAGTCGGAGGACAACGAAAGGGAAGATGGCGGGGAAGCCGGAAACGATGAAGAATCATGGCAGCCATCCTGCTCCGAGGGGGTTGCTTGTACGAAGCCTTCTGGAGATCTGTCCCTCATATCAAGGTTTTTCCTGTTGGATGCCAAGTCTTGTAACTATTGTTTTGTTTTGGCAGTAGATATGAATCCGGTGGATGTTATTCGCAAGGCCAAACTGTTGGCTCGGAACCGAGGCCGAGGAGCGGAGGTTCAACAAGGATCTCCACCCGTGGGTGCAACTGGATGTGTTGCCTCGGCCCGGACTCAGGAAGCGACTCCGGCCCGGAATCAAAGAAAGAGGAAGCTCATCCAGGTCGAGGACGAGGAAACCGCGTCCGAGCAGGATGTGGTTCTGACCCAGAGTCCAACGAGCAAGCGCCCAGGCTATCTTCAGGGTGGAAAAAGTCCCGCTTCCTTCGACAAGGCCGACGGGGTTGTGCAGGCTGAGGCCGAGGCTACTTCTCTTTCCGCGGCGCTCAAAGATGAGGACGAGATTCTTTCGTCCTTGCAGGGGCTTATGGACAACTTCCACAAACAGGTTAGGTTCTTGACGTCTTAATTCTCTTTATCTGTGCAAATAACTGACTTGATTTTTCTCAGGTGTCGGCGAAACTGAGCCTGATCACCGAACGTCAAGCCGGGGCCGAGTTCTCTTCTTCCATGAACTTCTTGGCTTCGGTGGAAACAGAACTGTCTCGCCTAAGGAAATTGACGGAAACCGAGCACGAACGGGCCGCCGAGCTTGAGATGCAGGCCGTGGCAAAGTCCGAGGAGGTGGTCCGGCTGCAGGGCCTTCTGAAAGAGTCAGAGGAATCAGCCTCCCAACTAACGGCTTCAATGGCCGAGCTCGAGGGGCGACTGCGCCAATCCGACGGCCGGATTTCCGAGCAAGATCTTGAATTGGCCGAAGCTGTCTCCGCGCAGCGGTCAATGGAGGTGGAGCGAGATCAGCTTCTTGCCGAGCGGGATCAAGTCGTTGCTGCCGAGAAGGAGCGCGCCATCTCTGACTTCCTTCAGTCCCCGTCCTTCAAAGAAAACTGCCTGGAGAGGATGGCCGCTTATTATGAAGACTGGCTCAATACCGAGGCTGGCACTGAGAAGATGGGAGTGGAAGGGACGAAGTGGTTCGAGAGCGGCTTCTATCATGGGATTCAGCTCGTCGTTCGCCGGGCCAGAAGAGTGGATCCGTCCTTCCCTCCGCCCGGGGTCGTCATTCCAGAGATGCACGATCCTAGCCTTAATGCCGAACTCGTGGAGAATCCAGATTACCTTGGGACCCCCGAGCACGAGGATGCGGGCGCAGATGGAGTCGGCGACGAGCAACCCTCAAATGCCCTTCCTTAGTGTTTTCCTTGTAATGCTTGCGATCTTTTTTCTTCACTGTAATAAAGATTTTATTACTATTTTGTTGCATGCGTCAACAGTTGGGCAGATTTCTGACATTATTTATTTGAATAAATTTGAATTGCGCCTTTTGAGGAACTGACTCTTTGGCTTCCCCACGCAAACTGACCCAACCACTGGACCGTCGCTTTGTGCCAAACACGTGTCACTGTGCACAGTTTACTTCTGACCACCGCGACTGTTCAATTCCCTTATCCCTTCGTTCATGGGCCTATAAATTGGCCTTCTCATTGCCTCGTGAAGTCCATCTCTTTGTTCCTTAAGTAAATCTTTCCATGGCTTCCAATAATTCCAGGGAGATCGGTCCTCTGCCTTCCCGGCGGGAGACCATTCGCCGCCGTCCTCCCCCTCCAGTGGAGGATGCCGAATCTCGCACAAGTTCATGGTGGTATCGTGCAAGGAAGTTGGAAAGGCGGATCAAACGTCTCCGAAGACTCGTGAATTATCTTCACGGAGTTCCCCAACAGCCAGCGCCTTTGGTCGAGCCCGCTCGGCCAGCCGCTGATGCCATCCCCGCGAGCGACGATCACCTGGAGGAGTCTGTCGGCTCTTCCTAAGTTTCCCTATTATGGCCCTCCCCTGTATACTTGCCGATGGAGGTTTGCAGAATCGGGGGGCCATCCACGTCCTTCGGCGTCTGGGCTTTGTTTGTCCTGAAGTCCATTGGGCCCGGGGCGTGTCTACTTCCCCATGACTTTCTCTACCTACCAATGGATTTGGGGATCTTTCTTCCTTCGTCCGAAAATCCATGGGGAGGTAGAGAAAGTCATATCTTTTCCTTTTTCAGTGCCGCTATGTAATAAATGTTGCCGACGTTGCAACCGTATCGTGTAGGGCTTGTAATAAATGTTGTAGCTTTCGAGAATACCTCTGTAATGGAGTTTGACTGTGTACAATGAATGTCTTTGTAATAAGTGCCATGTGCTGATTATAAATGTGATGCATTGTTCCTTTCCTTGTTTGCGTCTCTCTTTTTTTTTGCAATATGGCGTTAAGCCCTGGTACTCCTTCTCTTGAAGAGGGAACGTCCTTCATCCGGGCTACTCCCCCTTGTTCTTTCCTTATGGCAGATTCGTCTTTGCCCAGTTTTGCCACTGCTCCGACTGCGGTGGGAAAATGTACTCATCCCGATCTACCTTCTTTGAGTGAGGATTCTGTCCAAAGTCCCTTCCGCCAGGAACCTGATCCAACGGAGGTTGTGCAGAAGTCTGGGCGTTTGGTGCGCAAGGTGGGCACGAACGTGCGTGCCTACCTCAAAGGCTTTCGCAGTGCTCACCGGAAGAAGACGATCAGCGCCGACCTCAAGGCGCATCTCGCGGTCGACCATGGTGCTTCCTCCGTAGATTCTTCATTTTCTGAAGAAATAAATGTGTATTTTGACCATTCGGGAAACAATGCTTCACGTTCTTGTGCCTGAACTATGATGTATCGCCGTCTTGGGCGGATTTTGTGTAATAAAACTGCCTGTGTTGTACTTTTCCTTTTCTCTTTTTTTTTTACACCCCGAAGGGTTCTTTTGCGCTCACGCCCTCAGCAGGGCGGCGAAAGGTGTGTCCTCAGCAGGACTAGGGGTCGTGGAAGACATCCTAAGCAGGATTGCAAGTTTTTTGTCCTAAGCAGGACCTTGCGCTGCCCTTTGTGCTATTAACAAGTTGTGCCCATTCGGACCTTGTTCTTCGTCTCGTTTAGAGCACCAATTCCCCGGGTTAGGCCATGCGGATGGGCTCCCCCCTGAAGGGACACTCGGCAATAGGCATGGTCGAGTGGCGAGACGGCAAAAATTTGTTTTTTGTGATGTGTGAGCACAAAGGGACTTAGTTCGCGTATAGCGAAAGACCGCGTGAGGCCATAAAAAATCGTGGCGTGGGAGCCCGATAGCGCTAAGCAGCGTCTTTAAATTGCGTAAAGCAAAACAACAGAATTCGCGTGGAAGCGAGTATTTCATTAAGTAGAAGATTTTTTTTAGCTACCGAGGCCGACTGGTTACAGTTCTCAGCGCCTTACATGTAAAAAGAAATGAGATTGTGCGTGTTCCAGTGCCTGCCGAGTTCGCGACCTTTAAGCGTGGAGAGCTTGTAGGTGCCTGGCCTGAGCACAGTTATGACCTTGTATGGTCCTTCGTAGCTTTTGGCAAACTTTCCCCGCTCTGTAGGCTGACTGGCCTCCCTTTTCCTGAGTACCAAGTCCCCTACTTGGTACTCCCTTTCTCTGACCTTGCGGTCGTAATATTCTTTAACTTGCCTTCGGTAGTTCTCTGCTTTGAGGAAAGCTTGCTCTCGGCGTTCTTCAACGAAATTAAGATCGGCCGCCATGGCTTCCTCGTTCTCCTTGGCTTCATAATTTTCCTCTCTCCATGTTGGGATGAACACCTCCGAGGGTGCCCTTGCTTCCAGGCCGTAGCACATGGAAAACGGCGTTTCTCCAGTCGCCCTCCTTGGAGTGGTACGGTATGCCCATAGCACGTTGGGGAGTTGATCGACCCACGCTCCCTTGTAGGATTCAAGCCTCTTCTTGATCCCGTCCATGATTGTTCGATTGGCGTTCTCTACTTGGCCGTTCCCTTGCGGGTATGCCATAGAGCTGTAGGTGTGCCTTATCTTCCAATCTCCCAAAAGTTCATTGAAATCTCCAGCTTCGAATTGGGTTCCGTTGTCTGTAGTGATCTGCTTTGGGACACCATACCGACAGAGTATGTTGTTGCTCACAAACTTTGAGCATTGTTCTGAGGTTCCTCCAACTAAAGCCTCGGCCTCGATCCACTTCGTGAAGTAATCGATGGCCACAATGATCCAGCGGAAATGACCGGGTGCCCTTGGCATCAGTCCGATCAAATCTATCCCCCAATGAGCAAAAGGAATTGATGAGCTGATGGGATGATAGCTGGTTCCTAGCCTCCCCAGAATGTTTTGGAAAACTTGGCATACTTTGCAACGCTTGGCGCGCTTGGCACAGTCCTTTACCATGGTCGGCCAGAAGTATCCCTGCAGGACAATGCGTCTGGCCATGGAGAAAGGACCTTGATGTGCCGCGCATATTCCTTCGTGGACCTCCTCCATGATCTGCCCCGCTTTGGTTTCATCAACACACCTCAGCAATGTGCCGTTGTACGATCTCTTGTACAGTCGGCCATTCTCAATGACATACGTCGGCGCCCTCCGTTTGATCAGACGGGCCGCCGTCTCGTCACTGGGGAGGATTCCATCCTTCTTATACCGGATCAATTCCGCGATCCACCCGCTGGCCTCCTTGGTGACGACAGAAATGAACAGAACGTGAATGCTTGGAGACCCCAGGTCTTCAATGTGAGCCATCTTGGAGATGTGCTCGGGACTGTCGTTGCTCAGTTTGGAGACGACGTCGGCCTCTGTGTTTTCCGCCCTCGGGATCTGCACGAGCTCGTAACCCTTAAGGATTTTGAGCAATTCCAAGGCCGCCTCCTTGTATAGACGCATCCGTTCCTCCTTGGTATCGAACTCCCCTTTGATTTGACTGACGACCAGGCGCGAATCGCACCTGATCCTAACATACTCGGCCTTTAGATTGAGGATGAGCCTCAGTCCGCTCAGTAATGCTTCATACTCGGCTTCGTTATTGGATACCTTGAACTGGAATTTTATCGCATGATAGGAGCGGAATCCTTCAGGTGATTGGATTACCACGCCCCCACCGCAAGCCTTTGCAGCTGATGATCCATCAGTGGACAAAGTCCACCAATCTTCCTGCTCCGCCGTTGGCATGGGGTTGTTGTCCCGTGCCGTGCATTCCACCATGAAGTCGGCCAAGGCCTGGGCTTTGATTGCTGCCCTCGGCTTCATCTCTATCTGATACTGACTCAGATAGACAGACCACTTGATGACCCTGTTGGAGGCCGTCGGATTTCTGATGATGATGCTCAGAGGTTGATGACTCCTCACTTCCACTTCGTGGGCTTGGAAGTAATGGTTCAGCTTCTTGACCGTGTTGACAACGGCCAAGATTGTTTTTTCCACCACCGAGTATCTGAGCTCGGCGTCCCTCAAGGTTCTGCTGACGTAATAGATGGGGCGCTGAGTGTCCCCTTCCTCTCGCAACAAGACGGAGCTTATGGCTCCAGGGCTGACGCCCAAGTAAAGGTACAGCTTCTCGCCTTTGATCGGCTTTGCTAACACCTGGGGAGCCAGTAAGTACTTCTTCAATTCCTCAAATGCCGCCTGGCACTCGGGTGTCAACTGGAATTGTGGAACCTTCTTCAGTGTGCCGAAGAAAGGGATACTCTTCTCGGCGGATTTTGACAAAAATCGGCCGAGTGCGGCCATCTTCCCCGTCAGGCGCTGCACCTCTTTTATGGAACGAGGGGGCTCCATGTCCAGGATCGCCTTGACCTTCTCGGGGTTGGGCTCAATACCTCGCCGGCTTACGAGATATCCTAAGAACTTTCCACCTTCTACACCAAATGTACATTTTTTGGGGTTAAGACGTAAATTGAACTTGCGCATAATAGAAAAAACCTGGGATAGNGTGGAACCTTCTTCAGTGTGCCGAAGAAAGGGATACTCTTCTCGGAGGATTTTGACAAAAATTGGCCGAGTGCGGCCATCTTCCCCGTCAGGCGCTGCACCTCTTTTATGGAACGAGGGGGCTCCATGTCCAGGATCGCCTTGACCTTCTCGGGGTTGGGCTCAATACCTCGCCGGCTTACGAGATATCCTAAGAACTTTCCACCTTCTACACCAAATGTACATTTTTTGGGGTTAAGACGTAAATTGAACTTGCGCATAATAGAAAAAACCTGGGATAGATCCTCCGCATGGTCGGAAGCCTGCTTGCTCTTGACGATCATGTCGTCCACATATGCTGCCATCGTCTTTCCCAAGACCGAGTGGAACACTCGGCTGACCATCCTGGTATACGTGGCTCCGTTGTTCTTCAGCCCGAATGCCATCACCAAATAGCAATACACCCCCTCCGGGGTGAGGAACGCCGTTTTCTCGGCATCTTCGTCGTGCATGAACACTTGGTGATATCCTCTGAACGCATCCATGAAAGACATGACCTCGCACCCGGCTGTTTCGTCGATCATTTGATCAATGTTGGGCAAAGGGAAAGGGTCCATAGAACAAGCTCGGTTCAGGTCAGTGTAATCCACACACATCCTGAACGTCTGCCCCTTTGGTGCCAGCACGACGTTGGCCAGCCAGGTGGGGTATTTGATCTCCTTGACATGCCCTGCTGCTTGGAGCATGTCCACCTCCTTCTTTACGAAATCTCTCCGGTCTTTGCTCAAGTTCCGCCTTCTATGCTTTACGGGCTCTGCGTCCGGTCCGACCGCGAGGCGATGGGTGATCAGGGATTTGCTGACTCCCGGCATATCCTCGACACTCCATGCAAAGATCACAAAATTCTCCCTGAGTACCTGTATGATTTTCAATCGAAGTTCGGCACTAATGTTAATACCGAGCTTGATCTTCTTCTCCTGCTGCTCCTCCATGATCACCACATCTTCTGTATCTTCGGCTGGCTCGGCTCGGGGACGTCCTTCTTCTTCCTTCAAAAGTGCCGTGGCAATACTGTCCACCCTGAGATCCTGGGCGTCCATCTTCTTGGTTTGCTTCTGGTAGCAGAGTCGGGCGAGTTTGTGGTTTCCTCTGCACACCCCTACTCCTGAATCGGTAGGGAATTTCATGCTCAAATATTTCACCGATGTCACGGAGTCGAAATCTTCCAGTGCAGGCCGACCCAAGATCAGATTAGGGGATCCCAGAAGTCGTACCACCAAGAATTCGACCGGGATCGTCCTCTTGTGTTCTCCATCGCCGAAGGTGACCATCACCTCGACCAGGCCTTCTGAATCGATGATGTCCCCTGTGAATCCGGACAAAGGAGTCCTTACTCTCTTCAAGAGTTCCTTCTTCAATCCCAGCTCCTCAAATGTCCTTACATACATGATGTTTACCGAGCTCCCATTGTCAACGTAGGATCGGTGGATTACCACCTCGTTGATCTCACACCTGACGACCAAGGCGTCTCTGTGGGGCGATGGAATCTCAGGCAGGTCCTTGGGACCAAACAGGAGGGGCTCTGTCTTCGTGATTTTCGACGGTCCGGGTGCGCTGAAAACATCTCCGACATAGGCCGAGTGTACCCACTTCTTTCTTTGCTCGGCACTGTCCCCTCCGGTGTTGCCACCGTAAATCATCCTGTTCTCCTCGACCCTCTTCTGTCTAGGGTTGTCTTCTTCTTATTCATCGCTCGGGAGACCTATCTCTTTCCTCTTCTGTCTAGGGTTGTCTTCTTCTTCTTCATCGCTCGGGAGACCTCTCAACAAGAGCACCAATGTTGGGTTATGGAACCCGGGGGCCTAGGTAACTAGGCGGATGAGTATCGAACTAAGCACGAGCGCACAAAGTATAAGGGGTCAAGTAAATTTAGAGTAATAATGTGCTAGTTGGAATATTAGTTAGAACGTAAGTCCCCCTTCCCTTAGAAGGGAAGAGGTTTATATACAAGCTACAACTAGGGTTCCGACCGTTAGTCCGTAATCCAACGGTCTGGGCCCACTAAGATTGGGTTGTTCACTGGCGGCGTCCAACCACATGATTAACCCTAGGACTGCTACACAAAGTAGGTTACAAGTAGGGTGGCTATAGCAACTCTGCCAGAGGCATGGCAGGAGTCTAATCGTGGGCCCCTAGATCTTGACCAGGCCGGCTCCCTGGTCTAGATATGGTCTGCCGCTGTTCGTGGCCGAGGCCGAGTGCCTGACTTGCCTTCGGAAGCCTCTGGATGGAGGGCCGGCCGTGGTCGCTCCGAGGATGACCAACCCTGCCGGGGCCGAGTGCGCAGTGCTGCCGAGGCACTCTTTGTTGGTCATTTGCCCTGATTCCGTCAAGTGGGCCTTGACGAAGTTGGGCTGGGCCGTCTTCCTGTTGGGCTGGATACCCCCATTCCCGGGTATCCATCATATATATATATATATATATATATATATATATATATATATATATATATATATATATATATATATATATATATATATATATATATATATATATATATATAAACACACACACTAATATTATAATAAATTAAATTTTAAATAATTTCATTTTAAGTTCTTTATTTGCAATGAGATAATCTTTGCTGTGACCTATGTAGTGTTTTGTACTTTTGGTTACTCTTTCAATGGTTATAATATACGGAGTACTCCGTAGCTTGAAAACTTCATTACAGGCCGCTAATTAAACTCTGGATTTACGAGGTGATTTTGGGTCATCTACTGTCCTTTCCGGCCCGTTCGTGTTTTGGGCCCGTTCTCCATTTGTTTTTGCGTGTTTGTCGAGTACTTGAACCTTCCTAATTTTAGAGGATGTTTGGAGTGATTAACTTATGGATAAAGTAATTTCCACAAAAGCTAAAAACAAAAGCACCTCATACCTGCTTCTCCGAAACGGTGTTCTATGTACAAAATAGTGATTGTGAAAAGCAGAAGTTGACATGCCAAATAGAGTAAAATCACTTATACTCAAAGCAGAAGCTAAATTATTAAAAACAACACACTCCCAAACACCCTCTTTAGTTGCTTGTTTATAATTTACAGGCTCATACTTTAATTATTTTCTATTTATTTTTGTTACTCAAATGATAAAATAAAATAGGTTTGTCATCTTTTGATTTGTAGACTTTTTTTATATAATTTTTAAATATATAAAAACTTATTTTTTAATTTTATCCTAATTTTTAAAAATAACTTTACTCAAATATCGCAAAGAACAATATGCAACTTAAAATAGGACGAAGAGGGTACAACTGTACTTTGAGTAGGATGCTAATTGACCATTCTCAAATTTTGGTTTATTATATTTCAAGTATATATTCTAATTATAATGAAAATTTAATATAATTAAGTTTAATATTTTGCTTTGAATACGTTTTATAACATTTATTTAATTAAAATTATATCTAGTTTTTAATATAAAAGACTATAAAAGTCAAACTAAGACCATTTTTTGGAAAGAGTACTGCTACTTTAAGAGAAAATAGTACTCCCTCCGTCCCATTTTAAATTGCTTACGGAGTATTTCGGTTTATGATGTTTGACTAAAGTTATTTTAAATTATTTTATATGAAAAATGATGTAGAATTGAAAAAAATAAAAATTACATACTTCGTATTTGAAAACTATATCAAACGATCTACAAAACTAGTGGTGACATAAACATATTATTTAAGGCAAATTTTATAGTGGGCCCAAGGTCTACCAGGGACTTACATATAAGAAAAATATAATAAGTATTTTTTACTATCTAAATAAACATTTTTTAAATAAAAAAAGATTTTTTTATATGAAAAGGCTCACAAAATTGATATGTACCCAAGATGCACCAAAGAAGCACTCATTATTTAATCAAATGAGTAATTAAAATAGGAAAAGAAAGTAATGAAGTTTAACTTTGTGAATAGTAAACATACAATTTAATTTGAAATGAAGAAAATATTTTTTACAGCGTATTGAGTTTCTTTTTATATACTCTAATTATTTTCCTGTATTGCCAAATACTCCGTATAAAGTATTTTTTGAGTTGTTCCATCATGATCTTGAGATTTACATGAAAAATACGAATCTTGTTGCATACTTCTAACAAGCCCATAATATACTTGTATGAGAAGGTTTTATCCACAAAAAGATCAAAATGTGGCAAGAAAATCAAAGGACGACGGAGTATATATATGTGAATAAACAAATGTGATGTAGACTTGGAACCTGAACTTTGTACAAAGCTTCACATTTGTTAACCCACCACAAACTTGCTACCTAACGCCTTATTATACTTTACGCCATTTATATATATAACACAAATTTGAAAAAGTAATTACTCCCTACACTTCACATTTAGGTCAGAAATTCACCATATTGTTTTGGGAGTTTGAGAATTACTCCGCAATTACCAAACAGAAAAAAAGGTTAGATTCTTTTTTCATAGAAAAAGATAAAATATATATCGTGAGCCACACACTAGACTAACCCCAATGGAGGGTTACGTTCATAGGTGATTACATTGAATAAAAAACTATATTCAAATAAAACCCTAAATACCATCCTTTCATTGGGGGACGAAGATTTTTGTTTTGATGATATAACAATTATTTAATTACTTTAGAACCCCTAAACCTCAAGTAGCAATGTGGTTAGTCTTATTAAGGAGAATGAAAAATATACAAAATTTATTTTAGAACATAGGTAGTAAATTTAAAAAAAAATGTAAAAATAATTTTCACCAAATATCGTAAAAATAAAAGTAACTGAAGAATAATTAATTTCTGTAATCAACAACGGAGGGCTAAGCCTCGTATAAATAGATACAGTAGAGTCTTAACTACGGAAGGTAACTATACAAGGAAACCTGCCATGTGTACAAGGATTACTACATTAATATTAAATATACACATACTATATTTAACATGCGCCCAACTACGTGACCGGTGATGGACGAATACCAAGACTGTGTCTGAAATCGGAGAAAAGGAGTGAGGGAAGCCCTTTGGTGAATATATCTGCATATTGAGAAGATGATGGAACATGAAGGACCCTGACATGACCGAGAGCAACTTTGTCTCTAACGAAGTGAATGTCGACTTCAACATGCTTGGTGCGCTGATGCTGAACGGGATTAGACGAGAGATATACTGCACTGACATTATCATAGAACACCAATGTAGCACGTCGCAGAGGCTGATGGAGCTCAAGGAGAAGATTTTGGACCCAGCTCGCCTCAGCCACTGCATTTGCCACGGCTCGATACTCTGCCTCAGCACTGGAGCGAGAAGTCGTGTCTTGCCTCTTGCAGGACCAGGAAATGAGATTGTCGCCAAGGAAAACACAATACCCGGAAGTGGAACGGCGAGTGTAGGGGCATCCAGCCCAATCGATCAGCATCTGAATAGGCCTGTAAAGCATCGGTGCGAATGCGGTGGAGAGTGATCCCATGTGTAGCTGTGCCGTGGATGTACCGCAGGACCCTCTTCATGGCCGAAAGATGAGTGCTGCGGGGGGCATGTAAATGAAGACATAACTGCTGGACTGCATAAGTGAGGTCGGGACGAGTAAAGGTGAGATACTGTAGAGCGCCGACAATGGATCTGTAGATAGTGGGATCCGGAAGAGGAGTGCCGGACGTCGCGGACAGCTTTGCCTTGGTGTCCACAGGTGTGGAGATAGGCTTACAGTGAAGCATGCCAGCCCGCTCTAGAATCTCGTGGGCAAACTGAGTCTGATGAAGAAAGAGTCCCCCAGCACTGCGCTGGACATTAATGCCAAGAAAAAAATTGAGATCCCCCATATCTGTCATAGCAAATTCCCCTTTAAGTCGCTGAGTGAGAGATGTGAGGAGGGCAGGGGAGGATGCCGTGAGGACAATGTCGTCCACATAGAGTAGGAGATAGGCCATGTCTGTGCCACGGGAGAAGACAAAGAGCGACGTGTCACTCTTGCAGCTACAGAACCCCAGAGTGATGAGAAAACCTGCAAATCGTTGGTACCGGGACCTGGGGCCTGCTTGAGACCATAGAGGGCCTTCTTCAGCCTGCAAACATAATGAGGCCGTGCTGGATCCTGGAAACCTGAGGGCTGCTGGCATAGACTGTCTCGTGAAGTGTGCCGTTCAAGAATGCATTCTTCACATCAAGCTGGTGAATAGACCATCCGCGACTGAGAGCAAGAGTGAGAACAATGCGTACCGTGGCCGGTTTGACAACCGCGCTAAAAGTCTCATCATAGTCGATGCCAAAGTGCTGATTAAATCCACGGACCACCCATCTAGCTTTGTACCTGGACAGTTCACCTGTGGGGCCAAATTTGTGGCGAAAGAACCACTTACCGGTGATAATATTTTGAGTGGGGGAGGGAGGTACTAATTCCCATGTTTCGTTTTTGATC